AGAGGTGAACCGGCCATATCGGCTGGGTCTAATGCGACGGCGCCGTCGTCTGAAAAGTTTGGTGAGGTGGCTGAGCTGCGGGAGAGAGAAGGGTAGGGGGATTTGTGGGGTTTTAATTTTGAGAATTTGATATTATTCAGGGACTTAGTTGCAAATTGACGGAAGATTGGAAAATGTCATTTGGAATTGTGGGTTACATTTTGAGAATTTGATATGTTGTAGAGACTTGATTGTATTTTTTTGAAGTTTCATTTATTTCAATTTAATACCTTGGGCAAATCTCTAATATAACAAAAGTTCTATTATGTTATTAATTTATTATACATGGGGCAAATCAATTGATTATATAATCAACTTATATACACAAAACAATCTTGAAGTATAATTGTTGGTTAATTGAAATAACACAAAATAATTGAAATAAATTATATTATTTAATATGAATTCATATTAATATTCTATATTACGTTACGATTAAAAAATTATATATTGTAATAAATGAAATATATTATGCAATATAGTTTTTAAGGTGCAATTTGTCCAACACTATGGTGCACCGTGACTGTCAGTATTGTGTATATTGAACCAACTGACCTTTTCGTAACATTGGACATGAATATAATTAGTTCGTTTATTCGGTTCAGCTAACCGAATTATCCTAAACAATATAAATAATTTGTTATTTATACAAAATTTATATTTGATATGTTAATAATCTTATTCATTATTTTTATATTATTTTTGTGACACCTTATTTGTGTTGTTTTTATAAGGTGCAACATGATGTGATATAAGGTGCAATGAAACGTTGTATAAAGTGCAACAATACTGGAATTTTGGTCCGTTAGCACACTTGTATTTTTTTATTTTTTTTATTTTTTTGTGGGTAGATAATTGATGGATATATTAAAGTATTATGTAGAGTGCAACGTGATATTTTACAAAGTGCAACATACTATTTTATAAATTGCAACATTCCGCTATATAAACTACATGAATTTATATTCGTTTGTTTGGATTTATGTTGTGTCGTATTTTGTCGGGAGCTATTGATGTTAATTGTGGAGTATGGTGATAATGTGCAACGTATTATTTTATAAAGTGCAACGTATTAATTTATAAAGTGCAACATTTTATTTTATAAAGTGCACTGTATTGACATATAAAGTGCACTACTCTATGTAATGACATATAAATTATGTTTTTTTTTAAGATTAAATGTAGTAGATAAATAATACATAACTTGCATAATAAAAAAAATATATTTATTTTTTTCACTATTTTTATTTATTATTTTGTATTATTCTTATATAATATATTTATTTATTATTTTAGTTATATAAGTATAAATAATATATAAAAAATAATATTTTTATATAGTTTTAAAAATTATAGATTTGATCATGGACTAAATTAGAATAAAATCAAAATTGTTAAAATTGCACATAAATCCTTTAGATTTATCAAATTTACAAAAATTGCAATAACACTAAATCCAATAATTCACTATCCAATTTATGAAATTGGGGATCTAGAATTGGGGCCATAATTGGGGATCTAGAATTGAGGCCATAAGAACAGAACAATCCAAGCTCTCACATTGGGGCAAAAATTTGCAATTTGAGCTCCACATTGACAGCGCCGGCGGTTCGGGCGGAGCTCCAAACTCCATGATCGACGGTCACATTGCACTATTTATTTATATATAAGAAGTATTAAAATAATAAATATATATTTGTAGTAATAAATTATTTCAATTATTTGGCTTGATTCGATCTACAATTATATCTACTAAAATTAGTTTACAAAATAAATATTTTATTTGTGATCATATAAAGTAGTGCACTTTATATATCAACACGTTGCACTTTATCAAACAATACGTCGCACTTTATCAAACAACACGTCGTACTTTATAAAACAACAACTTGCACTTTATTACCACACTACACAATTAATGTCAACATCTCCCGCCAAAATATTAAGCAATATAAATTTAAAAAACGAATCTACATAAAACTTTAATATCCATTACATCATCTATCCACAGTAAATTATGCGAATCGAAGCATGCTAACGTACCAAAATTTCCGTAATGCACTTTATATATCAATAAATTGAACTTTATACACTAATACGTCGCACCTTATAACACAACATATTGCATGTTAGAAAAACAACACGTTGTACATACCGAAATTGCAGTAATTATGCTAATCAATAAATTATGCGAAACGATCGAATAATATTAGTTGGTTAAATATCGAATTTAGTTTTTTTTTATAAATAAACAAACATGCCGAGATATATAAAACATATTAGCGATATTTTTTTAATTTTATATTTTTTTTAATGAAACTAATATCTTTTTGTCTATATTTTTCATGTATTGTGAGTGAACATTAGAGATACATACTGCACATAAAAATGTCTACCATATTGTACAAAATCGAACGAACACAACAAGCAGAAATTGGGTATGAAAATCAATTTCACCGAAATTGACCCAACAATTCGCATCCAATTGACCCAAATCAGACCCAATTGAAAAATCGCAACAATTCGCACCCAATTGACCAAAAATTCGCACCCAATCACCCAACAATTCAAACCCAATTTGACCCAAATCAGACAAATCCATTTCACCTAAATCGAAAAAATCATGGATTTCAATTCAAATTGCACCCCAAATCACGATTCAATTCGCCAGCACCAAAAAACAGATCCGGCCGCCGCTTACCCGTTCCCGTTCAGATCGCCGGCGAGGTCATCCCGTTCAGAACGCGTCCCTCTACTATTCCCGACTCGTCTTCGTCTCCAACTAATCGCCGTCAGTACAATCGTGGCGCTCGACAGGCGGGCTGAGGGAGGTTGAGGAAGGGGCAGGCGACGGCGGCGGAGGTGCTGGTATGGCTGATGGCGCTCGACGTGGTGGTAGCAGCGACGGCGGTAGTTTGTTCGCAGCATCGACGGGAGAGTTTGAGCTAATGGCGGTGACCGGTGGTTTGGGTTGGGTTAATTCCGGCGTGTCCGGGAGGAGGGGAGAGGGAGGGCGCTGCTGGGAATGGCTGACGGTGCTCGACGTGATGGTAGCGGCGGTCCGGTGGCGGCGGCGGCCGGCGGTTTGGGGTTGATTTCCGTCGGGTCCGCTGGAGTGTGTGTGTGTGTGTGTGTGAAATTGTGTCTCGTGTGAGGGTGTGAATGAAAAATAGAGTGGGTCCATGTGGTATAGGTGTAATTACTAACTTACCCTTAATTATTGGTCAAATGGACATATTGGACCATAATAATTGACGTAATTACCAGATTGCCATTAATGATTGACCATTATTTATGAAAGTTTGACTTCATCATGCCCATTGATTTAATGGATCCAATGGTATATATTTATTCTCATTTCTCGCATTAAGAGTCATTCTCATATGATCCTTTCTCTATATATATATGTATATATATATATATGTTAGTTTAATGTAATTAAATTATGATTTTTGTGTTAAACGCAACTAATAAAACAATATATTGTTGAA